TGAAAGGAAAGCCACGTCTTTACGAAAGGCCAGCAGGGCTCAGTCTAATTTCGGGGGGAACGGTGTTTCGGAGGGCAGGCGGTGTTACAGAAAAGGCACCCTTCCTAGGTCCCCCAGATGACACTCGAATCAACAGGACGCAGAGCATGGCCCTTCTGATGGGTGGAGACCATAGGGGAGAGGTGGTCCCCCAAATAACCTGGCCCCATGCCCTGAAGGCCTTTGTAGCTGACAACCAGCACCTTGAATTGGGTGTAAGGTTCGCTGCATTCGGCACTGAACAGAAACCCAGTGATGCACAGGCTCAGACGAAAGCTAGTTTATTCAGGTGTAATGCATAGCGGTTACAGACAAAGCCAGTTTTGGCTTGGTGCAGTTTCTTACAACAGTTTCATAGGGTTTCCCCCTTGACCCGTAGTTACCCCTCAGTTCCACCCCTTGCCCTTGCCCTTACCCTGGGCTACCCATTTGTCCCTTGCAATCTTCCTTCCCCTCACCCTGATGGCAGATTCAGCCAGTTTCGATTGTGTTATGATCTCTTCCTTTGTCTGTCTTGCCCTTGCATTCCTTGGGCTTTTCTCAGGGTGAGTGGGGTGGCTGTTTTAATCTGGGTTTGAATTGCCTGCTGATTGCTGTGCTCCTGGTGTGTATTGTAAGCAGTTGCCCAGGACGCCTGGGGAGCTGGCTGCGCTACTGTGTTGCCACTTCTAATTGGCTCCCTGCTGCCAGTTAACTAACTGCCCCCTGTCCGTAGTTAACTTGCTGTTACATTGCTTCCTTGCCCTGATCACCTGTTGCCTGAGGCAGTGAAACTGACCAATGGCTCTGGGCTAGCGGCCTGTGCTCTCTAGGCTGAATCTGACACTGGGAGCCAGTGCAGCTCATGAACCCAAAGTAAGATGGGCGTACCAGACAGGCCCAGAATTGCTGGCGCTGCTGCATTCTGGACCAATTGCAGCTTCCAGATGTTCCCCAAGGGCAACACCATGTAGAGTGCATTGCAGTAGTCCAATTGGGAGGTGACCAAAGCATGAATGACTGTGCAGTGCTGCCTGATCCAGGAAAGGGCACAATTGGTGCACAACATGGAGTGGTGCAAGAGCCATTCTGGCTGTGGCTGCAACCTGCTCCTCAAACAGGAGTTGGGAGTCCAGGAGGACTCCCAAAATGCTCACTGTTTCTGTCTGTGGCAGGGCGACCCCATCCAGAACTAAAGATGGAAAATCACTGGATCCAGCAAGCCCTAAACCCAGAGCCATGCAGGTTGAATTGAAGCCAGTTCTTCTCCATCCAGACTCCCATGGCCTCCAGACACCAAGGGAGAACCTCCACAGCCCCCCTTGGCCAGGCTGGGACGGAGATGTTACAACTGGGGATCATCAGCATACGGATAGTGCCTCACCCTCTGCCATCGGATGGCCTCACCCAGCAGCTCCCCCAGCAATGCCACCTGGAACCAACCCCAGAGGAAGGAGGAGAACCAGGGCAAGACGGTGCTGTTGTTGTTTAGTCGTTAAGTCGTGTCCGACTCTTCGTGACCCCATGAACCATATTG